GGCATAATTTTATGGAATTTTCCGTCTGTCCGCTGAGATGATGTGTTCCACTCAGCCAAGGTTTGTCCTTACAGGCAGGTTCGAACTAACTGAACTGCGTCGATGGAAACGTAAACCAATTACAATTACACTTAGTTTGAGTTGGTCCTGACGGGCAGGTTCGTTGAAATTTACTTGGATACCTTGATACCTGGAGGTGTCACCTTTGACTCAAATGTTGTCGTGTAATGACCCCCCATCGTTCAGGGTCCTGAGCTGCCGTTGCACATTCTGCCATATTCAGACCAGTCCATGTTCTTATGTTGTCCATCCATGTTATTCTATGTCTTCCCCTGGCTCTCCTGCCCCACATCTTTCCTTCAGGCACCTCTTTCACAATGGTCTTGCATCGTTTTAACTTCAAATTTTAAGTGGCCAGAGTACTGTATTTTTCTACGTTTTATTTTATTCAGCAGGGTGTGTCTTGTGTGTAGAATCTGAAACACCTCATTGTTTGTCTTTTTTGTTTTCCAACTTATTCCGGCCATTCTACGGTAGCACCACATCCCAAACGCATTTATTTTCTTTTCTTCTTTCCTTGTCAAAGTCCAGGGTTCTGCGAAGTAATGCGAAGTAATGCGCTTCCTGAATGATCTAACTTGTGTCTGCATGGGTGTGAAATATTAATCTTATTTACAATCTTCCCAATCAAGTACTGACCGGTTCTTTTCCCGCCTTTTTTGTTCCCAGCCCTGGACTCCGACAATGTGTCCATCAAGAAACAGGTGTTTGAGATCCTGTCTGCGCTCTGTGTCTACTCCCGAGACGGATACAACAGGGCTATACAAGTGCTGGAACATTACAAGGTGAGCCGCAGTACTCTTCAATCTCTTTCTTTCTCTCTCTCCCTCTCTCGCTCTCTCTCTCTCTTTTCTCTCTCTCCCTCTCTCTCTCTCTCCATTTATGCTCTCTCACGACTCTCTCTTTCCTCTCTCCCCTCTTCTCCTCCTCTTTCTCTCGCTCTTTCTCTCTCTCCTCTCTCTCTGTCTCTCGTTCTCTCTTTCTATTTCTTTCTTTCTTTCTTCCTTTCTTTCTTTCTTTCTTTTTTTTCTTTCTTTCTCTTTTTCTTTCTTTCTCTCTTTGTCTCTCTCTCTCTTCTACATCATTTCTCTCTCTCTTCTTCTCTCTCCACCCCCTCTCCCTTTCTCTCGACTTCTTTCTATACGTCTGCCCTCTCCCTCATAGCCTGTAGCTGCTATCTGTGTCTGATTGTTTTCCTATCGCTTACTCATTAGTACGTAATCTGTTTGTTTGTTTGTGCGTGTGTGTCTGTATGCGTACGTGTGTGTGTGTGTGTATGTGTATGTGCGTCTCTCTCTCTCTCTCTGTGTGTGTGTGTGTGTGTGTGTGTGTGTGTTTGTTTGTGTATGTGTATGCGTATGTGCATGTGTGTGTATAGTTGTGTGTTTGTGTAAATGAGTATATTTACGCGTGTCTGTATTCTATTTTCACTATTTTAGATTAATTATACTATTTCAGAGACGTGTTGTCTCTGCAGGCTAGACATACATTCACGACATACACCCTACCACCCCTCCCTCTGTCCCCTCAAGCAAGCACATATTTCCACTTTCCACGCACCGATCCCAAGCCCCACACCTGCCGCACAGATCTGTCAGACGACAGTCACCAGAGACCTGCGAGTCTCCCCCCACTAGACCAAGTGATTAAATTTTTACACAAGACATCCCCCGGGCTTGCGTCGTCCCGGCCACTTGACCGCCGGTCAGTGTGAACAGT